ACATTTACGGCTCCAGCTCAAAGACCTGAACAATTCTGGAGTTGCAGTTTCATCACAAGAGGGATAAATAAAAATGATCTAGATTGTCCGTTTGTCTTATACTCCCTTGCTTTAAAAAAGGGAAGGCTTACTCCTGAATATACCCAAGAAGTTTCAATGATACTGTAAACAACTGCATGTGATTCCTTATATGAACTGCAACATCTGAATTGACTATGCAAGACCAGTTAGCCTCTTACTTCCTGTTAATTTGGTTCAAATTCAGTTATGCATAGAAATTTCACTATGAAACAACACTCCAGGTTATTAAATGGTTTCATGTGACCTTTAGTGTGTAATTGCTCAGTACAGCTGACTGCAGTTTATGTAAAAGGAATGCAAACCCAAGCACTAATCAAGTCTCACTGGAAAAGCCCAACTGCAATCCTACTCTTTAAAAATGAGAGATTTGCCACCAACTTCATTAAGGTTGCACCCTGAGCCAATCAAGGCATCTTACAACTGTTTAAAAACCAAAAGTAACAGTTAATCTAAAGGCAAATTAGCCATAAAAGCAGCTGCCAGCCCCTTTTAAAAAGCATGAGGTAGCAAGAGGCCTGCAAACTATTGAACTACTGTGGATTCAGTGAGTGATGCTTTCAAATAAGCAGTCCACAAATTTCAGATGCTCTTAAAGGTAACGGTTTCCCCTTGACATTAAGTCCAGTCATGCCTGACTCTAGGGGGCAGTGCTCATCTCCGTTTCCTAGCCGAGGGAGCCAGCATTTGTCCGCAGACAGTCTCCATGGTCATGTGGCCGGCATGACTAAACACCGAAGTGCACAGAATACTGTTACCTGCCCACCGAAGTGGTACCTTTTTAACTACTTGCATTTGCATGCTTTCGAACTGCAAGGTTGGCAGGAGCTGAGACGGAGCAACGGGAACTCACCCTGTTGTGCAAATTCGAACCGGCGACCTTTTGATCAACCAGCCTAGCTTTTACCAGTCAACTATTACTTGCCTTCAAGATTCAAGGAACTGGGCAAAAGTAGAATTCAACTGCATTTCATGCAGGCCTTGAGAGGCTCCCAAGGTCTGTCCAAGAGATTATATTATGCAAATTATTAAGTCAGAGCTACTCTCCTATAGTGTTTGCTTGTAGGTTCTCTCTCCCATGCAACATAAAATAAGGCCCTGATTTACTTTGTAATGCATGAAAAATTCAATGAGCCCTCTCTCACACTTTATATTGAGCAACCAAGGAATACACTTAGAGGTAGGAAACCTCAGGCCAAAGGGCCAAATCTAGCTTTCTTCAGCTTTCCAGGTGGCAACATCCCCTTACTTCTCCAACTTCTAATCATATGAGCATTTCCCAGCTTTTGTGCAGTTCTTTCCCCTTCCTAAAAGGCTGAAATTCCTCTTCTAAAACTTAGTTATTGGCTATAAAAGCTTTGAACCTGCAGAGCGGGGAAGGTATTTTGTTCCAACTCTTTCTGTCTGCAAAAATAAATTTGGTCCTTTGGCTGAAAAAGGCTCTTGACATGACACAGCTGTGAGAAATGAAATGTTACTGTTACTAAGTGTTAAGGGTGAAAAACAGGAATAGGACAGGATCATTGAAGTCTCTTAAGGCAAAAAAAGCCTGAGAATCAAAACAGGTAAATGGTTGTTCTAAGAGTAATAATGTTTCTTACATCAAAAGTCCCAAAAAATACCAGCAGGAGTAAAATTGGGGGACAGTGGTAAAACTGTCACCTTCAGTGGAGGAGAGCAGACAATGAATTACTTTACAACTGGCGATAACGAGCCTGGAGAAAGGCCTGTTCTCATTATCTCATCCTCCCCACAAGATTTAAGAAACATTTTGGCATCAAGTAAGAATTTTCAAGGCCACTTCGGCCTGTTGAACTTTTAAAAGGTACTGTGCACACTTAATAGGCTTATGAATAGTAAATGACACACCTCCCATAGGTAATAGGCTCATTAGCATGAACATGGGATGTATGAGCGGGAGGGGGGAACATATTAAGGAGTAGTATGATATAGGCAGATGGGGAAGATTGTGACTTCTTAGTAACCAGCCAATGGCAAAGCGGGGATAGTGTTGAGCATGTGGGGGGGGGGGGAATGTATAAAATCTCTTGTAAACAGTAAAAGATTGCTCTTTCTCAGACTGAGGCATTGAGCCAGCCTTTGCAAATGCTTTTTGTATGGAATAAACTGCTTGTACCTACTCGAATCCTGTCTCAAGGAGTTTTAAATCTCACAGCCACCAGACTGAATTAAGTAGCAGCCTGGTGGCTCTTCTGCCCCAGTTAGGCACTGTTATTTTTTGTTGCCCCTTTATGTTTTTAAAGTTTATCATCTATGTATTAGCAACTGATGAAGCCCTGATACCATGCATTGATTTGCTGTGTAAGTGAAGATGTGTTACCCAAGTTGTATCAGTTGTTCCTTCAGTTCAGAAGAAACTTCCCTCAGGCTTGATTCTCTGCTGCTGCTCTGGATTGCAAACGCAAGGTCTAGCCTTACATTGTTGATTTTAGTTCATCAATCCACTTCATTTCATCCATCCAGCTCATCTAATTCATCAGCCTTGATTGAGTACTGGCCTGTGTTTATTGTTTATGTTGGGTTTCAACTGGGTTTCAATAAAGTTTTGAGTCATGGAGAACTAGATGGCATGGGAATTTACCTGTCTAGTTAGATGTATTTCTGTTGAAGCCCTGACAGTGGCAGATTGTGGTTGCCACTGGCCATCTGGAAACATTTGACAACTGCGCTTAGTGTAGACCATAAATCCCTATTCAAGCTAGTTCAAAAAAGTAGAGATCTCAAGAAGACTTCAGGAGTTTAGCTATTTAAGTCACAATTTATCCTGGCATCATTATGGTTGATTCAAAGACCTCAGCCTGAGAAGTTTGAAAATACTTGCACCCAGAAGTTAAGAACATACAAGCTACAAGTTGCTGAACAGACCAAAGGTCTCCCATTAAAGTAAGTGAAGGCAGACCTGGGGTTGCATTGTGTTGCCACACCACAAAAGAACATACTTCTTCCTTCTCAGTCAGATATTGACAGGCAAACCACAAGATTTTTGTACCACCATGTGCTGCACAATAGAAGAAAGGATGCGCAAATGTCTACTGAGAACATATGCAAGTGACATGCGGGAGAAGCAGCCATATTGTTGGGATGTGACATCGAGACTGAAATCCAGAGCCCCAGTCAATAAAATCCAAAAGTCAGAGTTAGAAATACAACTTATTTATTTAAAACATTTCTATGCTGCCCCCATCGCAACAAAGCCTCAGGGCAGCTCACAACTTAATTAACATATAAACAAATTAATACAATTAAAAATTTAAAAAACCCAGTAACATCTTGGCTTAAAATTTAAAACCTGTAAATACATAAGTTATTAAAATAAGTTTTAAATAAAAAGGTCTTCACCTGGTGCCGAAAAACAAATAATGATGTATTTTAACGTATTCAGTAAAATAAACAGGCTTCATGCACACCACAGCATGACTGACTTCCCATATTTGAAAGTGAAGTAATGCACATTCCCTTATGGGGCAGGGGATTAAGACCAATCAATCCAGAGTACAAGGTGTTCTATTTCCAAAGGGTAGCCACATTAGGGCCAAAACAAACCTAAACAGCAGCCACAATCCGTACATTGTTTATTTTTATTCGAGAGTAGATGCACGGGAGACAATCCAGATATTAAAATTCGCCTACTCTACATGGTGGGATTCCAATTTTAATCAGGAACTCTGTACCTACTGAACAGTAAAAATGGCGGCGGGGGTGGGGGGGAAAGAGATATAGGGTGCTCAAACTTAAACAGTGTCTGTTTCGGCCCACCAGTCTACGCAGCACGAACAAATGGTTAAAGCCCAATACATTTACTCTAGCATAAACTCACGAAGCATAACGTACATTTCACGTGCGTGATTATGAAAAACTTTTAAATTTTTATAGGGAAAGAACACGGTCAGACATCGAAAGCCAAGGGGATCGACGGGCTTCTTCCAACCTCCTCTTTCCATCTGACAAACCTCGTACCCACAGGGGCATTCCATTGCCCGAAGACCCGACACCGTCAGTCTGGCCCATAACGGGGCCAGGCCGCGTCTGGTGTCAAAGGCGTCCCCTCCAGCGTCTTACACAATAGACAGAACTCCTGGAGAGCCACACGAGCGTCCAGGGAGCGTAGCCACGCCTCGACCCTCCCGCGCCCGCGCGCCACTCCCATCGCCCGAGGCCAGCCTAGCCGGGTCCCGGAGCAACTGCGTCAGCAGGAAGGCCCCTCGACGGCTCCATTCGCCTCGCCGACACCCCGGGCGAGCCAGGCGAATCCCGCCTCCCGGATGCAACAAGCGCCGCGGAAGGAGAGGAAGCCGCCTTCAGGGGCGCGCGAGACAGGAAAGCAGGGGCTGGCCATGCTGGGCACTAATGTCGGCTTGTTGCGGCTGGGGGCTCCCCAAAGACTATGCTAAGGCCCGCGTAGCTGGGAGCTGTGCTTTGGAGGCGGCAAATGCAACGACGGACTCCCCTCGACCTGGCGCTGGCCGTGGCGAGATAGGCAGATCCGCCCTTCGCTCTCCTAAGGGCCTCGAGCAGGAGAGGCGCCCAAGCCCCGCCACGCCTCTCCTTCCTTCACTCCCTCCCAGATACACTTTTTAAAGCCGTAAGGGACCAAAAGGAGCCTCGCGCCGCCTCCCTAGCCCCGCGCCCCACCCCACCGCACCCCATACTAGGCACCATAATTCTACAAGGAGCTTTCCCCGGCGAATCAACGAGGGGAAACTAGGGCACACATCGCAAACTAAACGCGCACAACGGCTGCTTTACTACAAGGGAAGCAGAAGATCTCCACTGAAATAAAAAAGCATCCAAGGCCGGGGGGGGTGAGGGGGGAGACGAAAGCCCACAATTCCTGTCTCATTGGGGCGTCTCTACAGCATGAGCGAGCAAGCAAGCACCCGTAGGGTTGCCGCTCTCCTTACCTTGCTCGCTGCTAGGGTCCATCTCTGCAGCCATCTCCCGCGGGACTCTCGCAGTCGCTTTCTTCCTTCGGGTTGTGCCAAGAAAGAAAAAGAAGGGGAGACACTGCGGGACTAGCACAGCAAGCAGCTCGCCGCCCGTCCGTCCCGTCCCGTCCCACCTCCACCCCTCAGGCAACGGGCTGTTTTTTTGTTTTAATTCCCCTCAGCAGTTCTCGATCCGCCCGCGCCAGATATAGGGCGGGCTCTCGTCCGTGTCCACGTCAGCCGGCGGAGCCACCTGACCGCCCTCTGGCCCCGCCTGACCTCCGGCGGAAAGGTGCGCTGCAGGTGTGTGTGAGTGTGTGAAAGACTGGGATGCAAAGAGTGAAAGCTCAGTTTGGTTTCAGGTGGCTTTCCTTTAAGAAGGGAAGTGCTGGGAGAAACATGCAGCAGGTGGACTGGAGTAACAATGCGGAGTATTTATTAAATACCTATTTATTAAATTTATATCCTGCATTTTTCTTGTATGAAACCCAAGGCAGCTTATATGGTTCTTTCCTCCCCTCCATATAATCCTCCCAACAAACTTGTGAGGTAGGTTAGTTGGAGAATCAATGACTGGCCCAAAGTCATCCAGGGAGCTTCATGGCTGAATGGGGACTAGAACCTGGATCTCCTGAGTCCAGGTCCAACATACACATTGCTACACCATGCCAGGTATTTGTTTCCCGTAAGTTTGAAAACAGTCTTACTTATGCCAAGGATGTCTTACTCCTATCATAGAATGGTAGAGTTGGAAGGAGCCATCAGTCTAGCCCCCCGCTGTTGCAGGACACCAGTCTACACCATCCCACTCAGATGGCTCTCTAGTTTCTTTCTGAATGTCTCTGGTGTGGGAAAGCCCATAATCACTCTAGGCAGACAAAAAATGAGATTAAATTAGTCTGACAGAATTTATTTTTGATAAATCCATTTTGGTTTCTATTAATCACTGCATTTTCTTCAATATGCTTGCAGACTGATTTTTAAATAATTTTCAGCAGAATTTTTCCAGGGATCACCGTCAGACTAACTGGTCTGCAGTTCCCAGCTTCATCTTTTTTTCCCCTTTTTGAAGATACAGACAATGTTAGCTCTTTTCCAGGCATCTCCCAGTGTATGACTCAGCTGCACATACATCACAATAAAAGCAAGAATGCTCTTGCACATGTCCAGAGTGACTACTACAGATCATACCTCCCACATATCTGCCATTAAGAGAATGCTTTCTATGATGGGGTTGAATGCAGCATTTGTTTCCTTAGAAATTTACCCACTGAACTTTAGTTTAACCTAATAATGCTGCAGATACCTGGGGACTTGAAAATTGTGTGGCATTTGTGGCATTATCATTTGGACATGCAGTTATGCATTTAGATTTTTTTCTCTTTAAACTAAAATATTATTGAAACCAGATCACCATGTTTTCAGGACAAAACAGATTATGAAACGCAGGCAGGATATTCACTTTCAATTCCATCCTTAGTTATTCTTTGCAAAGCTGTATAAACATATGTATTTTTTTCACTTTGCCAGTGCATGCTGAGAAATTCTAACCCATGGTAGTGATTGTGAATACAGACCCACAGCCCAGCTGCATTAACTTTCTTCTTCATCTTTTATTTTCCAGTCATCACTTATTTACTCGGAGCTGCTTTCTGTGCTTTGTTAAACAGACATGCTGTGTACCAGGATGTTTTTCAGGTGGTCAAGAAAAAGACTAGGTGATACAAATTACTTCCTTAAAAAAAAACTTATCCAGCAAAGGAAAAAGCAAGAAAACATCACCACCTACAATGACCAAAAGGTCTTGTTGCACCTTCAAGATGAATACACTTATTTCAGCATATGCTTTAGTTGATTATAACTTACCATATCAGACACATGAAATATTATGGAGAGTTTCAAGTTTATATATAGTTTATACTATATGCTGACAGTAGAGGAAGAATTATAAACAGTGCAGTCAGGTTGAAATTAAATGCAAAACACACTGACATTTAGAGTATAATCCTATGGCCATTAAATACTGCCTAGATGTTTACTGAGCAATGGTAATCCATGCTATGGTAACCTCACATTTAGAATACTATAATGTGCTCTGCGTGGGGCTGCCCTTGAAAATGGTCTGGAAATTTAAGTTAGTACAAAATAGGGTAGCCCACCTGTTGTCAGGAATGGCTGGTATGAACATATAAATGCTGTTCTTTATCAGCTATAATGGTTACCTATTGAAGTCTGGGCTCACTTTAAGGTGCTTACATTAAGATATAAAGCCCTAAACTGCTTAAGAGAGATGCTCTAAAGGAGCATCTGTACTCCTGCCTGGATCCTAAGATCATCTATGGAAGTCCTTCTCCAGGAACCACCTTTAAAAGCAGTAAGGAAGGTGGCCACAAGGGAAGGGACTTCTCTGCTGTGGTGCCCCAATTATGGAACCAACTCTTTAGGGAGGTGTGCCTGAAGCCGACTCTCTCTATATTTTGGTACCAAGTCAAACTCTTATTTTCCTGGCATTTTAGTTGTTAAGTAATGTTATGGATTTTATATTGGTTTTATATTGGTTCTATATGGACACTGGCATTCCGTGAATTGGTTTTACTTTTGTACTATTTTTTGTAGTATTACTTATTGTTAGTTTGATGTTATGCTCCAATAATGTTAATTGCCCTGTTGATACAATGTATGTATACTATGTTTTTAGATAGTGTTAATTTTTGTATACCATTCTGAGAGCTTTTTGCTAATTGAACAGTTTATAAAAGCCATAAATAATTAAATGACCATGGGACAATTTGGAATCTAAGCTCTAGCTTCAGCAAAGCACGCAAAGTGAAAACTGGGGCTCTGAATTCAGGGCCCTCCTCCTGACCTTTCAACCAGCATAATTCTTTCTGCATCAGCTGCAGTTTGAAAGTTGCAAGTGCAAATTCTGAGTGTGTGTGTGTGTGTGTGTCCGTGTCCTTGCATGCGGGGGGAGGGGGGTCCCTGGGGAACAACAAGGCTTTGCTAGGATATAAGGAATCCTGGAGGTGCCTCAGCAACTCCTTATGAACAGGGTAAAACAGATAAAATCCTAGACTCCACATGTCTCCCACTTCTCATTAGTTGCCAGTAATCTACTGACTTCAACTTGGATAGCTGCCCAGATCACATTTTTAACAGTAGTCATTTACAGTAAGATTGTGGCTAATAATGCAAATATCTTAGCACTAGGGAAGCTAATTAGTATATGTGGTGTGAATTTAAAAAAAGAAACCCTGTATTCTGATTCAAACCTCACCTTTATTGTTGTAAGCCGCCCCGAGGCTTCGGCGAATGGGGCGGCATAAAAATGTTTTAATAAATAAATAAAATAAATAAATAAGGTATGCCAATTCTGCATCTCTGCTTTAAAGGAGTTTAAATATATGCCTGACTGATAGAAATGTTACGTGATTAACAAAGTTTCTGGAACTGATCACATACTTCCATGTTTATACAGTTTGATTTAAAAGTCTTAGATCAAAATGGTACAAGTTAATTTGATGCATCAAGAGGTCACCAATGTCTTCTCCCTATAGCTCCTTATGTACCCAATCAAGCATGGAAGTTACCATTGTGCTGGGAAATCAGAAGAGAAACAGCCTACAAACAGAAAGGTGTGCAAGAAGACAATTAGTCTTGAGAGCTGCTGCCTATTTGGCCTGAGGGCTGGATTCAGTCCCCCATGCCCATTTATCCGGCCAGCCATAGCTCGCCACGTGTGCACATGCATGCATGTGGTGAGGTGCCCGCTTTCTCACAAGGAAATCGTTTTGGACTCACTTGGAGAAAAGGACCTCCTTGTGAGCAAGCCGGCCCCGAGGCGCCAGCTTGCTCGCAAGGAGATCATTTTGGACTCGTTGGGAGAAAATGATCTCTGTGTACACATGTCCCTGCCTTTCTGCACGTGTGCCCTGCCCACCCCGGCCCTCACCCCCTGCCCATACCGCCTTGGCAGCCAGTGCCCATCCCTAGCACCTTGCAACTGGCCGCCTATTCAAAATGTTTGAGAATCCCTGTCCTAGAGGATGGTCAGGAGTTAACAGGTCATGGTAGAATGTTATGCATTCCATTTGATCTCTGCTTTTGATTTTCTGTATCAAACCTTATGCACCTGCTTTTATGGTTATACATACAGGAGAATAAGTATGCTTAAACATACTCATGACTTACAATTTAGCCTCATTTTTATATAGCCTGGTTTGGGTAACTTTGGACTTGTAAGTTTTTTCTCATTCACCATGTCTAGTTCCTGAACCTCAATATTTTTCCCAGGCCTGGGCCTCTGGGTATCATTCTAATCCATCACATTTTCCAATTATTATTACTCTGGGGTATGAGCCTTCTATGCTGAAGAGAAACTCCTGCTCATCCCTTGAGTTGACAGAGAAATCAATTTCTTTATCCTGTCACATATATTTCTCCTCCCTCACACGCAGCCAAGCATTAGCTTTGCAGTTTTACAACTTGAGAATAGTTTGCCCACATTTGAACTTCATTTATGAGTCTTCTTCTGTACAAGGAATCACTAATGTGCCTTGCAGTTGTAAACTTGAAACCATGCATTTTATTTTTATATGCTTGAAAGTAACTTCACTTCAAGGCCTGTCCCACTTTTGTGTTTTCAGGCTTCCGAAATGCAGTGCCACAGATCAATACATAACTCAGTGGTTAAGGGCCTGCAGAACAGGAATTGTTGCAACACATTTTAAATTAACCAAATTAAATGAAATTTCTGGGTGAGTGTGATAAACATAGATAAAAGTGTCTCGTTACAGTATAGCTAATGATATTCAGATACATAATACTCCATCTTTCTTATGAAACAATGAATCAGAATTTAGATGAATAAAGGGTTAGAGCATGCTACTTAACAGAATAAGTAGTTCATGGTTCTAAGGATGCACATAAGCAGTTTATTTCTGAGACTTGTGTAGGCCTGTATCTATTAATATTCATTGTTAAACCACACTTGCGTAGACTCATCTATGAAAAATACATAGTTCAAGAGAGATTTTCATGCTCCTTACAATCCTGCTTCAGCAAAGTAGAATTTGTTCTAGACATGCCCCTGAGGGTGGACGCTAATGGTAAGGGATAAATAATAAATAAGGGCAGGAAATGATGGTCTTTTCTGTAGATCAGTGACTGTACCTATCTATTTCTGTTCAT